CGTCCCTCGAGGCTTGACCTCGCAGTTGCTTCTAGTTAACCGATAACAGCTGCGCCAGCGTCCACAGTCCTTCGGCTTTCCGGCGGCCCCCACAGTTGACCTCAATTTATTCAGTCACGCACATACATGCGCACACACCCGCGCATACACCCGCGCATACACCCGCGCATACACGCGCAGCCAAATAAGCACGCCTGCCTAAGGGCCACCTTCGAGTACGCCACCCCTGGGCCGACGCAGTAAAGACCTTTGCAGGCGACACATCAATAACAGAACACCCGAACCTGCTCCGCAAACCTACTTAAGCAGCCGCCACTACTGTTTCATGCTCTCTCAGGTCTGGCTGGACGCAGTCAACACTAGCTTTAACTTGGCCAGTGGTCACTGCCACCTAAGAATGCAACTGAGAGTTCTGTGCACAATAAATCTCTTTCACTGGTGACTTCCGTCTTTTTACTTCCACCTGGGATTCGGTCTGATGATTGCAGTGCTCTAAGCACAACTATTACTTAGACCGCTACATATTCGTCATATGTGAGGTGAGAATTATCTCCTAGTAAGCCTTATCTGAGGGCTGCTTCACGATATGCTGCCTGTAAACAGGATTCCTGTCGTCCCTGTCCTTATGTTTTTTGGGTAGCTCATTTTGGTTTTCGAGAAAACCTTTTTTTACATCGGAGTGTTGACAACCACCGCCTGAGCAGGGGAACCACATCCGGTCGCAACTGTTTCGGCAACTCAGCTGATGCTTTCTTATTTTTATGTGACTATATATGACGGAGAATGACTTTTTATGGGACATCTTTCTCCTGGTACTCCTTTCCTGTAGACATCAGCGGCCAACCTGGAGATAGAACGGCTTAAGCTCGAGCTTACCAAAGTCAAGGAGGAGCGTGAAACATTGGTGAGTTATTCGTCCGAGTTTAAGGAAATTCTTGCTTTCTGTGTGTTACTTTGGTCAAGATTGTGATGAGAAATATTCCACTAATCTACAACCGTTAAAAATAAATTATAGGGCTCAGCTTGTCCTTGGTTACTTTGCATAACTGCTTACTTATTTCTTAGTACTAAGCATGTTTTGGTTAACTACCTTGACGTCGGCTATGTTACCATAAATGGTTGGGCAAAGTCAATCCACATATCCCATTGCGCCCCACGGAATTGTTTAGTGACATACGACTAACACTACACCCTTTTCTAAATTCCGTTTAAAAAAAACTGAAGGCAATACCGGTACAGGCAAAGAAGCCCGAAATGGCAATTTCTAACACATTCTTTCTACAGATAATATATCGCTATCGCAAATTTCAAGAAATGGTATCTTAATTAGGCACGTCTTGGTCACTGAACACCAACTCCAACGCTCTAGCACTAAGTCCCTGGCTTTCCAATGTGTTGGCCGCCATCGCGAGGTGCTTCTTGTCACTGGCGCAACACAGTTCTTACTCCGCTGAGCTCTCTTGGCAGCCAAAGGCGCCATTGCCATGAGAATACGACAGAATTGTCCATATCGTTTTTCATTACGAAATGAAAACAGTGTTTCAAGACGTCGCCTAGCTATTTCCGGAGGCCACCTTTTCGATGCATTATCTATACGCTCCTGGTCTTCATGGTGCCTTATCAAGTGGTCGAAAATGCACCGTTTCAATTTTCCATCCTTTTCCCCTAACTTTTCAATATTTCATTGAATCATCAAACCCCAAAACATATTCTTTCATTTATTTTGGCTTAAAAGTTAAGTATAGAAGGTACGGCTGGCTTAAAATTACTTTTATTGAGTCACTTACACAGTTCGCAATGAAAAAGACAGGGGTAATAGTTTATGTATCCACCTCGAGTTCGGGCAACCACAGTGCGTAGTAACTTTCAACCTGGCCAAAGTTACCTCAATAAACGGGACCGAAAGGTAA